TTTAGTCTGTTTGAAATTCTCTATGATAGAAAGAAAAAAAATAGGAATTTCATACTTACTCATTTATTTATTTAGATATAACCACCCAGGGCAGAGGCTTCTCAGATGGTTCAGCAGTAAAGAATCCGCCTGCCAATGCAGGAGATGCTGGTTCGACCCCTGGGTCGGGAACATCCCCTGGAGGAGGAAAAGCAACCCACTCTGGCATTCTTGCCTGGAAAATCCCATGGACGGAGGAGCCTGGCGGGCTCCAGTCCGAGGGGCCACAAAGAGTCAGATGTGGCCTAGTGCCTGAGCATGCACAGCGCGCAGGGCAGAGAGGACCCTGTTCCTAGGTTCCCACTGCCAGCTTGGCCTCCTGCCTTCTTGGTTGAGTTTCCTGGGCCCTTTGGGGTGAGACTCCCCACCCCGCCCTCGCAGGACTGACCCTCACTCAGGCCCGCCCACAGGGTGAATTCCATCCTTCCTGAGCCAGGAGGAGGGAGGGGCCTGCATTTTCTCAGGGCAGCCCCTTGGGCGGCTGTGTTTCAGGTCTACCCCACGGCGACCCGCGCACTGGGCCTCGGCACCTGCAGCGGCATGGCTCGGGTGGGCGCCCTCATCACCCCGTTCATCGCTCAGGTAGGTGTCGCCCCGATACAGAGGGGGCGGGCCTGGCCAAAGCTGGGCCTCCGCGTGGCCCTGGGTGTGCGTGCTCGGCCTGGCCTCCTGTTAGCAATCCGCCCTGCGGAAGCAGCCCTACTGTGTGCAAGCGAGAAAGCGGAGGCTCGGAAGAGTCACGGGCCTTGTCCAACGTCACACAGCTGGGAGGTGGAGGAGCTGGGAGTCAGCCTCGGGTCTTTCTGATGATGTGGCCAAAAACAGTTTGGATTAGAATAAACAGGCCACCATGCCTTAGAGGGAAACTAATGTCCCAGCCCCCAGTTTCTGATTCGGATGATTCAGTGTCCTTGCAGATTTTTTCAGGTCTTTGTACCTTGAAGATTTTTTCAGGTCTTTGTACCTTGAAGCAGTTCTGTCTATTTGGGGGGGGGGATCTTATTTTATTGGAGTCTGTTTGCTTTTTTTAATATCCAATTCATTTTTTTTCGTGTTTTTAATCATTTTTTTAAAAATTGAGGTGAAAGTCATGTAACATAAAATTAACCATTTTAATTCGAGGACTTCCTTGTCAATTCTGTGGTGAGGACTCCACATTTCTAATGCCTGGGCTCGGGTTCGATCTCTGGTTGGGGAACTAAGATCCCACAAGCCACGTGGTGCAGCCAAATAAAAAAAATTTTTCAAAGAAAGTGAATGATTCCAGGGCACCAACCCCGAGCACCCTGTATCATGCATCAAACCCGGACTGACGATTCGTTTTATATATGATATTTTACATGTTTGGAACACATGTACACTCATGGTGAAGTCAAGTCAATGTATGGCAAAACCAATACAATATTGTAAAGTAAAATTAATTAATTAATTAATTAAAGAATAAAATAGAAAAATAAAAACAAAAAAAGAACTTAATAAACAAAAAGTCAATATTTGCAAAAAAAAAAACCAAAGTGAATGATTCACTGGCCTCTAGCACTGTCGTGATGTCGGGGACCACCACCTTGATCTAGTTCCAAAGCATTTTCTTTGCCCCCAAATAAACCTCTGTATCCATTAAACAAGGACTTCCCAGCTCTGGCTCCTCCAGCCCCTGGCAACCACTGGTATGCATTCTGTCTGTGTGAATTTTTTCTCTTCTGAATCTTCTGTGTAAATAGAATTCTAATACGTGCTTTGGCCAGTTGTTCTGTCCCAGTACCATTGTATTTGAACATTGTACATCACTATTAACTAGCACTGGTTGGCAACTTGCCAAGTGCCTGCATGGTGCCAAGTGAGGCATCTTCTCATTGGGAGGTGACCTCTGCCCTTCTGCCCGTTTGACAGCTGAAGAAATGAGGTTTAGACCTGCTGCGTGATTTGCCTGGGTCATGAAGATAGGAAGCCAGCAGGTGTGCTGCTTTGAGAGAAAATAAACAAACTCTTGAAGGACTTTGGTGGTGGTCCAGTGGTTAAGACTCCGCACATCCAGTGCAAGGAGCATGGGTTTGATCCCTCATCAGGGAACGATCCCACATGCTTCCTGGTGTGGCCAAAAAANCAGACTCTCCAGTCTGATGGGATCTGGGTTCAAATCCCAGCCCCATCCTTGGTCTTTGTGTTGCTTAATCCTTTTTGAGCCTTGGTTTTTCCCTCTGTACAATGGGGTTGGAGTATGTACCTCATAAAGCTGTCTTGAGGACTCCGTGGGAGTCCAGTGACAGGGAGGGCTTACAGGAGGACCTGGCATCCTCAGCATCATCTGTATGATTGGTGGTGCCTGTGCGTCATTAGGGACACTCTCACCAGCGTGTGTCTCCCTCCCCCAGGTGATGCTGGAATCATCCGTGTACCTGACGCTGGCCGTTTACAGTGGCTGCTGCCTCCTGGCTGCCCTGGCCTCCTGCTTTTTGCCTATTGAGACCAAAGGCCGCGGACTGCAGGAGTCCAGCCACCGGGAGTGGGGGCAGGAGATGGTTGGCCGCGGGGCGCACGGCACAGGTGTCGCCAGGTCAAACTCGGGCTCTCAGGAGTAGCGACCAATGGGGGGCTGCACTAGCCTTTGAGGCTATAGAGCATGAACAGCTGGTGGAGCCCAGCGGGGCACCGATCGTCACTGCCCACACCGAGAACTCACCCAAGGGCACCGCCCAGGCCAACAAGGTTTTGTGTCTTGACTGTTTGCTCATATTCATCGAGATCCACCTGAGGGTGGGGAGGCCTTTGCTTTTGGAGGTTCTCTGTATGTGTGTGTCAAGGTCTGTTAATAACCTGTGGATCTGCATGGGAAAACTGCCACCTCAGGAGTGCCCAGTGACACCAGTAGCCAGCCAGACACCACCCAGAGTCAGCCGGTCACACCCTCGGTGAACAACAACCAAAAGATCTCTGCAGATACAGTCCAGGCCCAGATGGACCCTTGTGAGGTCTGCCGTCCAGTAAGATGACACGTGCCAGCCACCCACTGGATCTGTTCTTAGGTTTCCCCTGCATCCCCGGCCCCAGGCTTTCTTCTTTGAAATTGCAGGTGACCTGGGTGTGGCCTGAGCAGCTTTTTCTTGGGTCTGAGAAATATTCCTGGGGAAGGGGCCCCTCAGTTTGCATCCCCAGGGCTTGAGTAGCGGAGACTCTGAAAGATGGACATGCATTTGAACTTGCGTCTCTTGCATGCTTCCACCTGGCCCCTTCTTGGAGTCACTGTCCCTGGTTCTAGGGGATCCAAATGTGAGCACGAGGACAGCTGGGCTTGCACCAGATGACAACCTCAGAGAGTTGTTACCTCCAGGAATTGGGGGTGGAGGTGAAAGGGCGGTGAGAACCAAGCCCACAGCCGAAGCAGGGGCCTCCCCTTCGGAAGTAGAAAAGGCCACTCCGGGGGATTTCTTTTCTGGCCGCCTCCTTGGTCAGGCTGACTGGTGACTCTCGGGGCAAGAAAACAGTTAAGTCAGGTTTCAGCATTTGGGAGTTGAGTGTGGTACGTGGCTAGGGAAACAGAAAGAGGCTCCCCCAACCACCCACTCCCATCAGGGTCAGGGGACCAGGATCCCTTCCTCCCTGGATTCTCTGCCACCCCTGCAGTCAAGGGTTGGCTTGGTCTTTCCATAGAGACAACTCCTTGGGTTCTGGTGATGGACCACATGGCAGAGATGCTGTGCGTAGGAGGAATGGGAGGTCCCAAATGTATGAAACGTGCATTTTCAAAGAAAGAACAGGGAGGTCAACCAGGTTTGGGGGTTGGCCTCCAGAGGAAGGGCAGATGCTGTTCTCAGCAGACAACATCCACTGCCACGGTTTGGTTTCTATGAGCCTTTTCCCCATCATGAAGGCAGGAACCTAGGGAAGGAGGGAAGAAGCTTCCAGATCCCATCAAAGGCCAGAAAAGACTGACCCTCTGCTTGGAGATGTCTGCTTGAAGTGAACATTTCGAGGAGGCCAAATGTGTACGTTCATCTTTATTAAAACATGTTGGTGATGGACATTGAAAGGGTTGAAGTTTGTCCGTTTGTCATAATGTCCTAGGGATGGTTCACCTTAATGGTCTTGCCAGCTTTGTTCATTCAGGGTAAGTTTGATGCTTTCGTATGGTTTAATATGATGATCTTTCCAACAAGGGGGAAAAGGTGCACAGTTGGCTGCTGACTTTGAGTCTGTTTGGAAGCAACACTCGCTGCTAATGGTGTAGAGATCACAGTGGGCAGCTCCTTCAGGCCCAGGCCCAACTGCAAATGATCCCATGTCCCTGGATATATGGTCTGCAGCACCCCCAGGGCCCAGGCAGTCAGAGGGGGCAGTTTGGCAGAGCTTCCTCTCTCTGTCACCCACATTTCTTTGGACCATGAGTGGCTAAAGCTCTAATTATTTCTGGTCTGCTGAGCTCTCCTGGGTAACAAAGAACCTTTGCTTGTCTTTTTTGCCTTCCAGCTGACCAGACACTGCCAGATGAGAAAGTCCACTCTCTTCACCCTCAAATAACCTGGAGAAACTGGGGACTGTGGTGGGGAAGGAGAACTTGGTGGGCATAGATGTATTCCAGGGGCTGGAGCAAAGAAGCTTGTAATTGTGGGTTTTCTCGAGAAAATGAAAGGTGAACACTCTTGGCTTTCTAAATTGCATGCCCTTTTATAAAATCGATATTATTGAATGAAATAAGAGCTGCCACAAACATTGTGAAAGCCTCTGAAACACATGAGACCTTTAGCTGAAAACCTTTGTATCTAATTTTGAACCATCCAAAAGCTCCCCTTTCCATTAATGGAAATGTCATCTGTCTCTCTCAGTGTTAGGAAAGACTAGAAAATGGTAAAGAATGTTCAATGTAGCCAGGGTTACATGGTTTCTTTTTTTCCCTTACTTCAAGTATGCTCAGGAATACATACATGAGATGTGTTGGCAGTGAGAAAAAAAGAGTATCTTAGAGATGGACTTTGAATATGGATATGCATTATTTTTAAATAATGGTAAGCAACATAGAGCCTTGAAGGATGATGTCTGGAGTCTTCCTTGGTTATGACAATAAACATCAAAGGACTGGAATAACTTTGAGCTGTGAGTAAGAGCAAAACCAACCAATAGTAGTTTAACCCTTTAGAGTATTAATTGTTCATTTAGCAACAAGCCCAGAGTCAGACAGTTCCAGGGAAAGTTCAGCAACTCAACAATGTCATCAGGGACCCAGCTTTTTTTTTTTTTTTTGCTTTCCCTCTCCACCCTCCTCTGCATGTCAGCCGTTGACCCTAAGTGTGAAACCTCATGGTGGCAAAGTGGCTGCCAGTGTGCCAGGCATCAAGTTTTTTTTTTCCAAAGAGGTAGAATGGGGAAGGAGCAGTCACAACAGGTTTTCTTTCTAAAGAGTCTGTTGTTTTGGCTGGAAAGAGAAGTTCTGCAGATTTACTATTGCTTTGCATTAGTCAGACCTGGGTCACAGGCCCACCCCAGCATGAGCCATCCTCTAGTTGGGGAAGGAAGGGCCTACCTCCCACTGGTTCAAGGGGTACCCAGAGCCTCTCGGACACAAAATTGAGATTCTGTTAGTACAGAGAAGGAAGACAATGGTGGTGGGATGGGAGATAGCCAAGAGAAACCCTGACACATAGTTCTCATGAAGGCTGTTATAGTTGCAAGGAATACAACAGCTTTAAGAAGTAAAACTGTAAAATAAGACTCAGAACAGTAGTTAATTTCCTGGGGGATATAAATATGGGAAACGGAAGTGTAAGGAACAACAGGAAGAGAGGAAGATTGTGGCAGAGTACAGGGCATGGGCCCTGTCCAAAGGGAGTGGCTGCTACTCAGCTCCAACTGATATTGTTGTACCATGAGGTCACCTGATTTTCAAGACAAGAATCTGCATTCTTATGTGAAATCTCCAAAATATTGACTGCTAGATCAAAAAAATTCTTTTTAATTTTAGTGTGTTGGATTGTTTAAAATTTTAAATGTGTGAGTCTAATAAAATTCATCTGTAGGTCAGGTTTGGTTGATGGGCAACCAGTTTGCAGCCTTGGAAAGTTCTCTGAAATAAATGGAACTGCAAAATAGAGAGCCACCAGGGCCTGAGGCAGCCCTCTCTCTGGATCTGAGGCGCTGGTTTCTGTCCCTGTCTGCAGACTGGCTTCCTTCTGCCCCCTCGTGGCTGCTGCATGTACCTAACCTTGCACATGGCTTCCGCTCACCAGGGTTCATCTCTGCAAACATAGCTGACTCAGCTGTCCGGTGTCCCACTTTCGATTGGTCCAGTTCAGCATTGGTCCAATTGGTTGGGTCAGGGAGGGGTGGGGTCAAGAAGTACAAACACGGCAGCCTTGGTCATGATAATTACCGGTATGCCGGGAACCCATAGCAACACATAGGTAAACTCTCAAGTCTGTTCATTATAACTGTTATGGGTTATGTCATGGCATATGGAATATCCATCATATATTGGTATAATATTCAGCACGGAGGATGCAGAAAAGAATTAAGACATGATCCCTATCTTCATGAACTCATAGTGTAGTGTGGAGAAAACACTGCACATTGGGACGCAGACCATGTGGGCATTAATGGAGGAAGGCAGAGTGCTGTGGGAGGCACATAGGAGGCCAATCCCAAAGCTCTAGAACATTCTGAAGTCCCTTCTGCCCTTCTGGCTCCTCAAAGATTCCATGATTACAATCAGACTTAGTCACTGTTGGTACTTTACTGTATTCTGATTCCTTGACATTTGAACCTCTAGATACATCACATATAATCATTCTCCATTAATCAGGAATATTTGATGATGAACCACTTCAAATATCCCTACCCCCACATGCCACAAAACAGAGCACTTCCTGAATTAAACAATTCTACTCACAATAGCATCAAAAAGGATAAAACAGAATAAATTTAACGAGTCCAAGACATTTACAAACTATAAAACAATCCTGAAAGAACTCAAAGATCTAAAAAAAATAGAGACATGCCATGAACATGAATCTGAAGACTTAAAACTACTAAGGTGTCCGTATCAGAACTCCTAGAATTGGCCTCATAAATTTAACAAAATCCCTATCAAAATCCCAGCTGGGATTTTAAAACTTAGGACGAAGCTACAAGTAATCAAGATAGCGTGGTTCTAGCATGGGTGTGGAGCAGGCATGACATGCTGTTCAATGTCTCATCTCTTCTGCCTCCTCACACCACAGTGGCTGAAAGACTTCGGCCGTGAAATCCGTTACAGCCCTCTCTCAAGTGCTTTCTGCGGCCTTACTGCACCAACCTTGCAACATCCCCACTCGCTCGGAGCTGCATCACATTAAGCCTTACTCAGGGCTCCCCACACTCAGGCTTTCCACACCCGCTGCCTCACTAGCAGCTTCCACAGCTTTCCTCACCCAGAGCCCGCTCGTTAGAGTTGCCACTCCCTAGCTTCGAGCTCCCTCCCTCAGAGTTACCTCACACCCTGCCACACTCAAAGACTCCTCAGGCCTTCCACACTCAGCCCTCCTACCCTCCGACACTCAGAGCTTCCTCACACCCTGCCTCACACTGAACTTCCTCACTCCCTCCTCACTCAGAGCTGTCTCACCGCTTGGATTTTCTGAGCTTTCCTTCCTCGGAGAATTGATTGGATAACAGTTCTGGCTGTACTTCTTCATGTCTGCTGTCCTGCTCCAGACAGGTGACCCTCCTATGCTAATAGATTCTGCCACCCACCTTAGGAGGAAGAAAGAAGCAATGACACTACATAAGTGGACTCGAGAGACACCTCGGCCGTCGGAAGAGACAGACTCACTGCTTGGAACTGACCTTGTGTTCCCTCTCACCTGTGCTTCTTGCAGAAAGAAGGCAGGGGTGGGCTGGGGTGGGGCAAGTGATGGAGCACAGTGTTTAGTGACTGGGAGGGGCAGGGAGTTACTGAGGGGAGGCGGTGGTCACTAGCTTCTTCAGAGGTGGGATGGTGGTATCCTGAGCAAATTCCTTTCTTCCAGAACTTTCCCAAAGAGCTTGGCCACCTCTTGGGCACAGCCCCAGTGGATGGTGAGCCCAAAGCCTCCATGGCCATAGTTGTGGATGACCTGGGAGAGGCAAGAGAGAAGTTCTGGGCTGCCCTGGAAAATTCAGGAGCCTCCTGAAGAATCCTGGGTCAATCCTGATGGTATCAGAACTTCTCTTGGCACCATGGTGGGATGGCAGGCCCCAGGGAGAGCAGCAAGGGGAGGGGGGTGTTTAGGGAACTGGAGGTCCGTATCCTAGACTTCTCTTCTACTTATGAAATGGACCTGCTTTGAGCTCTTGGCACAGGAAAAGTAGAATCATCTAGAACTTGATCAGAGCTTTCCTTCACCCCACATCAAATTATTTGAAGTTCCCTAAATCACTTTCCTCATTCCCATACTGCTCCAGACAGCTGAACCTCCTGTGTTAATAAATAGATTCTCCTATCCACCTTGGGAGGAAAGAAAAGCAGGGGTGCTATATAGGTGAACTCGGGAGAGGTTAGACCCCAGGGGCCTTTTTCAAAGCTGAAACTGTTAACAGGGAGTTACCTTCTACACGTGACTCTCCCCCCAACTCCCCCGCCCCACCCCCGCACAGACAACTTCTTTTACGGATGGACCCGCAATTCTCTGTATACATACATTACATACACAAAACTCTTCTACACACATAGACACACCATACGACTGGGATAAAGGAGGAAGGGTGACCCAGATTTCTTCAACCCCAGACAATTCTCGCCTTTTCGATAAACCCAGTTCCCACCCCATGAGACAGGAGATGAGGGGGCCCCTAAAGGGGTGATGGGCCACCCAACATAGACTTCTGAGAAATGGCACTGGACTCAAATTCAAACCACTTCCCAGCCTTGCCCTCACCACTGGTCTGACGGAGGCCAGTGACTTCCACCTCTGGGAACCCCAGTTTGCCATCTGAAGCATGGAGACAACCGCCCCTGTCCCAGAGAGCTGTAGGGGAGATTCGACGGGGTTGTTCTCGTTGTGGACACAAAGTAGATGCTCAATAAATGCCCCCTTTTCCTTCTGCTTGACACAGATTTTAGCAGATGAAAACCGCCCTCTGTATAAACTTGAGCATGTCCTTTGCCATCGCTGGGCCTCAGTTTCCCCATTTATAGAGGAGGGGTTATTAGCCATTATGGCCCCTGCCTGAAGTCAGCATGACTGCTCCCCAGAATGCCAGTGCCATCTTAGGTGTCAGGAGAGGCTATTACTTTCCTTGCCAAGAGGGCATACCTCTGTGTTTGAAGATCCAAAGCAAAGTTGTTCTCTTTCTAGTCGAACCTGGGGGCGTACTGGCCGGAAGCCAGACCATTCACCGATAAGTTTTGCATCCTGGGAAGAAAAGCATTGGTAATTCAACTCTGGATTTTTTTTTCCTGATGCCATTTGTAGGTGGTCGAGACAGCTTTTGGGAGCTCACCACCACCACCACCAGTCATGGTTTTGTATTAGCCACCATCACCACCAGCCACCACAATAATAGGGTCTCATCACCATCATTATCACCTCGTTCAGATTTTTTTTCTTTTGGTCAGGCCATACTTCATGCAGGATCCTAGTTCCCTGACTAGGGACAGAACCCACACAGCTGCAGTGGAAATGTGGAGTCCCAGCCACCGACTGCCAGGGAAGTCCCATGTGCTTTCATCACCAACACCGACCACTGCATCCCCACCTTCACCTCTGTCACTATTGTTGTCACCACTAGCAGACAAATGTGAAAACTGAGATTTCTGCAACAAGCACATCGGCTCCATGTGAAGACATGTTTGGGGGATGTCACCTCAAGAGAGAGCAACTCTTAGCCACGATTGGATAGGTTTCATTGGCCCACAGCAGGACTTCCATTGTCAGTCCCTTCTTGGAATTATTTTGCTCAATTGTCCCAGTCACAGTATCTTCCCACCCTCAAGTTTCCTTATAATCATCAAGCTGCTAGGATCCTGGTCTAGGGCAAGAATATCTCTCCCCACCTTACCTTCAGTGTGGGCTCCAGTCTGCAGCAGCCTTCCCAAATGGTGTTGTGGTCTGGGATATTGTTTGTCTCACTCCAGTTCCCCAGCTGGAAGATGCCGCCAAGAGTTGTTGCCTGGAGCCTGGATAAAGTGAACAAGGTCAAAGATGAAGGAAAACGGAGCCTTTGAGATAAAGGGAGAGGAGCCACTCCCACGCTCACCCTTACCTAGATCACCATTATAGTCCCACGGAAATTGAAAACAAGATTATGGTTACCAAAGGGGAAATGAGGGGAAGGAATAAACCAAGAGCTTGGGATGAACACACACACACACTGTAAGACAGATAACGAAGAAGGACCTATTGTGTAGCACAGGGAACTCTACTCAATATTCTGTGTTAAAACAAATGAGGAAAGAGCCTAAAAAAGAATGAATATACGTGTAAGTATAACTGAATCACTTTGCTGTACGCCTGAAACGAACACAATATTATAAATCAACCAGACTCAATAAAACTAGAATATTAAATATAAAAAACTCAAAAAAACCCAAACATTATCATCCCTACTAGTAGCACCAACATCACTACAATTGCCATTTCTTCACCATCAACTGCCACCACCTCCACCCTCACCATTAACATCACTGTCATCATTGTCATCCCTTCTAATGTACAGCATGGAAATGATCGTTAACAATACTGTATTATATCCTTGAATGTTGCTAAGAGAGTAGATCCTAAATGTTCTCGCCAAGATCTACATACGTATGTATGTATCTACTTACATACACAAAACTGTAATTAGGTAATGTGATGAATGTGTCAACTAACCTTATTGTGGTAATCATTTCACAGTATATACATATATCACATCATCATGTTGTACATCTTAAACATACAGCACAATGTTATATGTCAATGACATCTCAGCAACATTGGGGAAAATACTGTCTTCTCCATCAACAACATCATCTTCACTACTGCCTTCCTTGCTCCCATTAACATGTCATCACCATCCACTCCTTTGACCGTTTCTACCATTAGCATTGCATACACACTATCATCTCTGCTACACCACTAAAATTGCCATTGAGGCAGTCAGCACAGTCACACCATTAACATGGCCCTTGAGACTGTTGTGACTGCCGCATTTTTAAAAATTTGGCTGTACCAGGTCTTAGTTGTGGCACATGGGATCTTTGACTGTTGTGGCATGCAGAATCTTGTTCCCCAACCAGGGATCAAAGTGGACCCCCTTGTACTGGGAGCACAGAATCTTAGCCATTGGACCACCAGGGAAGTCCCTGCCACATTATTAGAAGTCAACATGGATAGTGTCATCTCCATCAGCACCAACTACCACCCCCGATTCCCACTCACTACCATCCATCATCCACACTGATCTCCTCATCTATAACAACATGGCCCTGATGCTGGGAAAGATTGAAAGCAGGAGGAGAAGGGGACGACAGAGGATGAGATGGTGGGATGGCATCACTGACTCAATGGACATGAGTTTGAGCAAGCTCCAGGAGTTGGTGATGGACAGGGAAGCCTGGCATGCTGCAGTCCGTGAGGTCGCAAAGAGTCGGACACCACTGAGTGACTGAACTGGACTATCCCCGCTCCCACTATTCCTCCATCAACAATACTATCATCATCAGCCCCCACCCCAGTCCCTTTATGGCCATTCACAATGCTGCTCATGTCACTGCCGTGGCATCCACTGTCTTTGTCTCCAGCCTCACTGCTCCTGTCATCCCAAATCAGGTTCAAGATAGAGCCCAGGTAAGGCTGAGTCCTGCCTTCTCAGAGGTTCAATTTTTGCTCAGCCTCACTTAAAAACATTGGAGGGAAAAAAACCTGAAAAGATTAAGCAAGAGCCCTGGGGCAAGCAGCAAGGGCATAAAAAGAGCAGGAAGGTCCTCCCTCCTTCGCCCTGCGGTGTTAGATTTCTTTTTACCCTGGAATGATGTATGGAGACTTGTAGATGCCTCTCTCGGGGTCATGGGTGATAATGAAGTGTTTCAACCATGGCGCATCCACCTGTTGATTGAGGACAGAGAAGTTTCATCAGGAGAGTGAGATCAGTGGGCTCCCTTCCCCTGGTCCTTTTATGACCACATGTTCTGGCAGGAGTGGCACAGTCGTCCCTTGGCCCTCCCTTGACCGCTCTGTCCCAAGTCTGCACCTGACCGCTTACTTTTGCAGGAAGAGCTGTCCTAATGGAGAGTCACCCCTGGTCCCCAAAGCATCACACATCCTCATCCTCAGAGAAGCCCAACACACATGTGTAAATGCACACACACATTCACTCACCTTGGGAACACACGTACCTATGAACACACTCGTGTATGCTCACATGGGCACACATAAGCACACATACTCACAAATAGGCATGCTTCACACATAGACAGATGTACACAGTGAAAAGTGGGGTGGAACAATGCTTACTCACTCGGGCTCTTAAACCAGGTTGCCTGGGTTCTAATCCCATTTCCACCACTTATTATGATATGTATGAATTTGTACATGTTACTTAATCCCTCCATGCCTCAGTTTCCCCCCCTCTGTAAAATGGTAATGGTGATGTGATAGTACCCATCTCAAAAGGTTCCTGTGAGGGTCAAATTAATTAACATGATGAAATGCTTGGGTCTGTGTTTGTCATTTAGCAGACATTTCGTAAACATTTCCTCTTTTATTTTGATACCGGCGTATGCAGCTCCCATATAGGAACAAACACACACATATACATGCTTTCCTATTAAGGACTCTGCCAAAAAAAGAAAAAAGGAGTATGTTTCGGAGGGCTGTTTTCTTGGTTCTTCTTGTTTCTTTAACATGCAAATTCCCTGGAGACTGGGTGGGGCTTCCTCTGTCAGAAGTTCCCCTTCAGCCTCTATCTTTACAGACGAAATAAGCAAGCAGAAACAATCTGTCAGCAAGAGCTCATCCCTCACCTTCAGACTTACCTTAATGATCTGCCCTCGGCCTGGCTGTAGCAGGGGATCTGGTTGCAGCGCCCCAGCCCATACCCCAGTGCAGTTGATAATCACATCAGCGCCTTCTCTTGCCACCTGGGAGCAACCAACAGGGCAGGTGGGTTGAAAGGGATTAGGACCCTGGGATCCCTTGGCTTCTCCCACCCTGCAGCTCCCTGCTCACTGTGGAACAGCTAGGGAGTGGGGCTCAATGAGGACCTACCTCCAATACTGCCCTGCCATTTACCTACTGTGTGACCTCAGAAAGGTCCCATCCCCTCCACAAGATTCAGCTTCCTTAGCTATTAAATGGGGCTGGTACTATCTGTTCATAGGCTGTTGGTTCCAGGGTGATATAAATGTTATAATGTGTTTGGAAAGGAGTACTACAGAACGGAGAAAGCTTCTTGGAACCTTCCAGAAGTCAGAAAGGAAGCAGAGATAGTTTTATCCCTCCTTCTGACTCCTTTTTATTTCATTCTCTTGCCTCCCTCTCTGCCAAGGCATCTGCACAAGGCAGGTTGGAAGCCCTAGCTCCATGCATTTGTAAACGATGCTCCATAACTCAAAGATGTAGCATCATGGTACCCAAACTCCCAGCCCAGCCCAGTGACCCTCCTTACAGGTCACTCCTGAAACACACTGGTATTGCTCACAAGCCAGTATTTGCCACACTGGACTCTGAGCCCCTTGGGAATAAGAGCTGTGTCTAATTCAAGTATGCATTCCAAGTGCCCATCAAGGCTTGACCTAGAGCAGATGCTCTTCTATTTTAGTAGGTACCAAGGGGGCTTCCCTGGTTGTTCAGTGGTAAAGAATCCACCTGCCAAAGCAGGAGACATGGGTTCAATCCCTGGGTTGGAAAGATCCCCTTCACCCAGGTTGCCATGCCCTCCTCCAGGGGGAAAGGGCAAACCACTCCAGTATTCTTGCCTGGAAAATCCCATGGACAGAGGAGCCTGGTGGGCTACAGCCCATGGGATTGCAAAGAGCTGGACATGACTAAGCATGCATGACTGAGGAACTGAACTGAACTGAACTGAAGCATGCACGCATGCAGGTACCAAGAGTCTTCCACGTGCTAACCATTTTTCTGGGTGCTGGGATTGAGTGATACACCAAAGCTCCTGGTACATAGCCAGTGCCTGCTAATGATGCATGCTACTATCATTATTATGGATGGTGGTGTCACTCTGGACCTAAGTCACTTTGTTTTGTATCAACATCAACCCAGATGTTGATAAGAAGCAGTCAAACATCTAGAACTTGAGGAGTGGGCTGCAGCTGATAGTGAGAGGCAGCCAGCTCTCTGGCCCTAAAATCCACTGAGGCCCAGACACCGATCAGGACTTAATGGGCACCATTATTCCTTTGCTTCTGCCACCCACATCAAGGCAGAATGCCCGAGTCCTCTGGGATTAAAAGTAGGCCTAAAGTCTGGGACAGGCCTCACAGGAACCCTGGTGGCCTGAGAAGGCCTTCCCCAACCCTGTAACAAGAAGCAAAGGCCTCCCTTCTTTTCCTCTCTCCCACACCCAGCCCCTTCCGGCCCTTCAGCTCACCTCCTCAAAAGACTCCACCTTCCGCAGGAAGAATTTCACTCCTCTCTCAGTTAACCTGGGATGATCAAACACATCCAAAAATCAAGCATTCAGTTCTCTGAGGACGGCAGGGGGGACATTTCCCAAAGAACCTTTTGTGGATGTTAGTCCTACAGGATGCTCCTTGAGAATATGACTATATAGTCCAGTCGGTTCATTAGCACCTTGATTGACCAGTGGCCCATGAAATGTCCTTTGGGAAACCTGAGATGGTCCACGCCCCTCGTTGAGCAGATGGAGATGGAAGAAGGACCTTGTTGAAGGTCTCATCGTGAGTCAATGATGGGATTGACCAGGTTTCGGTCCGAAACCTGGGGCTCCTGCTACCCGCGATGTTGCTCTGTGTTATCAAAGGGGATGAGATGCCGCCTGGAGGATGGGCAGGGTTGCACCAATGCCAAATGCTCCTTTGTCAGTAGCAGAGCGTGAGGAAGGAGGTGGGCTGGGGACACCCACCTCTCCCCTTAAATTTCACAGAGGAAAAAAATGTATGTCACTATTAGGAATATAGTAGAAACATTGGGAGAATAGGAAGTAAAACACCATACAAGCTGAAGCACAATCTCATAATTGTTTTACCCTCATAGTTTCCTCAAGATATCAGTAGAGAAACTGGGGACACTCTGCCCTGGAGAGGGCTGGGCAGGAGTCATGAGTGTCCTATCAGGAGATGTAACCATGATACAATGATTTCCAAACCTGGCTGATGATGACAGTCACTCAGAGAACTTTTTAAAATATATAAATCTCTGACGGGACCGTGAGGATTTGGGGACCCTGGAGATCCGAGTGGGTAAACTGGGAAGGAGCTCTGGAAGCTTACGGGCGACGGAAACAGTCCGCATCTTGTTTGTGGTGGTGGTTTTACAGATAGCTGAAACTGATTCAAATTACGCTTTAAATAAATGCGGTTTATTCTAGGGAGATTAAAAAAATAAAATAAAATATAAATCTCTGAGCCCCACCCCAAAGAATCTGATCAGTAGCTATAAAGTGGGGTCCTGAAATTTACATTTTTAAAACCTCCCCAAGTCATTTGAGGAAAGTCACCATCCATTCCAGATTTTTTAATATTAATAAAATAATAACATACAGGAAATTTATGGAATCTTCCTTAATATGAATGTTTGTGAATATAGATACAGATATATCTCTCAAGCTACTGTTTGCTGATTTGAAAATATTGCAGGATTCTTATCAACAAAAGGAACAAGACAGGGACATCCACTATCATCTGCATTAGTTAGTGTTGTTCTGGAGGTACTGGCCAGAGCAGTTAGACAAAAAACAAATGTGAGGTATAAAAATAAAAGCCAACTTATGCTTGATGATGGTGTCTATATATCTGGAAAAACTTAGGAGAATATATTTAAAACTATTACACTAACATCACAGATTTTAGTGAGGCTGACAATAAATATCATGTGTAAAAAGCTTCTCGAGTGGTTTCAGCCAGGTGTGGAAAGCACCGTCCTACTGCGTAGAGGTGGTCAGGACCAAGGATAGCTCCCACCAAACCTAAAGGTTTTCATCAACATTTAGGGCTTACCAGCTGGCGCAGGAGGTAAGAATCTGCCTGCAAGAGACACAGGAGATACGGGTTCAATCCCTGGGTTGGAAAGATCCCCTGGAGAAGGAAGAATACTTGCTCCAGTATTCTTTCCTGGGAAATCCCATGGACAGAAGAGCCTGGCAGGCTACACACTCCATGAGGTTGCAAAGGGCCGGACACGACTGAGTGAGTGAGCGCGCACGCAGCACAAAGATAAATCCCATGAGCTGTCATTCACCACAACCCTGGTTCTTGGGAGCTGCCTCCTTCAAAGGAAAGCTGAAAATCTCACCTTTCAGTCAGCCACTGCAGATACTTCCTCCCCTCCAGAATCAGGCTTGTGTTGAACCAGCCATAGCTAGAATCACAGGAGGCAAAATGTGGGAAGAGAGGATTGGAATCAGAGCTGTATTTGAAGGCTATCAAATAGCGGTGGGAGCTGTCACATGCTCTGGGCCCATAAAAAGGTAGAGCAGGGACCATCAGGTGACATTCAAGGGGAAAGTGATTTTCAGCTCAAAGCAAGGAAATATTTTCTATCAAAGCCCTCTTTGACATTGGGGTGTGCAAGTGGAAATTGATGTGCATCTGCAGAGAAGATTCAGACATGGAGCAAGGTGAGGAGAGGATCACAGACATCAGGCTGTAGAGAAAAGAATAGAGGGGTTTGGACAGGGTTGGAATCCCACTGCAGTCACTTTGCTGTGTGGCCTGGGGAAGTGACTTGGTCTTTCTGAAGCTCAGTTTCCTCATCTACAGAATAGGATAGTGGCATGGATCTTCCAGAGGCTTCCCTGGTGGCTCAGTGGTAAAGAATCTACCTGCTAATGCAGGAGATGTGGGTTCAATCCCTGAGTCGGGATGATCCCCTGGAGAAGAAAATGGCAACCCAATCCAGTATTCTTGACTGGAAAATCTCATGGACAGTGGAGCCTGGTGGGCTACAGTCCATGGGATCATAAAAGAGTCAGACAGGACTTAGCAACAACAAATGGAACTTCTGGGCTTGAGATCTGTATCCATATCCCCTACCACCATAGTCTAAAGCACAGTCTGGACAGATGGGTTTCCAGAAGGAGTCGGACGGAGCACTGAGAGATCAGAGTTCCAGGGGCTCTAGGCCTGGGATGGAATAGGAAGTCCGGGCTTCCCTGGTAGATCAGTCAGTAAAGAATCTGCCTCCAATGCAGGAAACCAGAGTTTGATCCCTGGGTTGGAAAGATCCCCCGGAGAAGGAAATGGCAATCCACTCCAGTATTCTTGCCAGGAAAATCTCATGGACAGAGGAGCCTGGCGGACTTCAGTCCACAAGGTCACAAGGGTCGGACACAGCTTAGCAATTAAACCATATTCCCTATAGGTCTGTCTGCATTGTGGGGTCTCAGTTCCTTCACCCATAACAATAATCTTACCTGTAATCAGGAAACATGTCCAGCTCTCTGACAGTCAGCTTCCTAAATCCCAGAACTATATCCTTCCAGTAAGGGTCCTTTAGAGGAAGAAGAGAAGGCGGCACAGAGATGGATGAACGTCAACACAAGTGATAATAACAAAGACTTATGTAATGTTTACTATGTGTAAAGCGCTGTTCCAAGCATTTTATTCATACCAATCCATTTAATCTTCACAACAACCCATTGAGGTAGATGCTATTTTAGTCCAATTTTACAGATAGGTGCATTGAGGCTCAGAGAGTTTAAATAAGTTGTCTGCAGTCACCCAGCTTATAAACAGTGGCACAGAGCTTTGAACCCACAGTGGGACTTCAGAATCCATGTTCTTAACCATAGTGCTATGTGAGGGTAAGAATAAGGCTGACGATGAATGATATGGTAGGGTCATAAATCAGGGAGGAAAAAAAGGGGTGACAGTGAAGGTCACCAAGGGATGAGAGTGGGAAGTTGCAGAGGGAAGGGTCAGACAACCCAGTAGGGGGAGATTTTGGCCTTGCCACTGACTACCTTGAATTCTCCAAGACTCAGTTTTATTGTCTGTATAATGGAGTTAATAGTCACTCTCTCTCTCTCTTTTTTTTAAAAAAATAATCACACTTAGAAGGTAACAGATAATGAAAGTAATGTCCTTAGCACAGTGCTAAACATTGACTAAACCTTGGAGAGCTGGCATGGGATTCTGGGCACCCAGCCAGACCACCCTCACCAAACAACCTGAGAACATTCCACATGGTTGTGCCTCTTGTAACACATTGGGCACCGTGGGGTCACAAATGGCCCAGGTTCAAATTCCAGTTCTGCTGCTGAAAGCTTTATGAGCTCAGGTGAGTTACCCCATTTCTTGAAGCCTCTAGTTTCTCATCTGCAAGAGGAGGACAATGACAGCACTTACTTCCTGGTTATGATGAGAGTCAAGTGAGTCACTAGTTAGAACGTGGTTAGGACGGGGGCTGGCACCTGCTAAGTACTTTGAAGTCTGTGCCAGGATGAGTGGTTTTAGTTCATCCTGATAGAAAGTCCCAGAATCCCCACAGGAGCAGGAAACATCTTGACTTCAGCATCAGATGTCTACCACTCCAGGATGTGTTTTGAATTTTACCCTTGACCATGAAGGAATGGTTAGTTCTCATGGTTCATCTGAAGAGTCTTTGGTCTCGGGCAGTTTAATAATAAAATGGAAAACAAAAATAATTTTTAAAGCAAAAATAGAACTGTTTTAAACCTTAGTTATTTCTTTCTCCTTTTCAAGACTTTTTTTTTTAATGTGGACCATTTATTTTTTCAAGTCTTTATTGAATTTGTTACAATATTGCTTCTCTTTTATGCTGTAGTGTTTGGGCTAGGAGGCATGTGATATCTTAGCTTCCCAAGTGAAGTGGCTCAGTCATGTCCAACTCTTTGTGATCCCATGGACCGTAGCTTACAAGGCTCCTTTGCTCCTGGAATTTTCCAGGCAAGAGTACTGGAGTGGGTTTCCATTTCCTTCTCCAGGGGATCTTCCCGACCCAAGGATCGAACCTGGGTCTCCTGCATCTCGGGCAGACACTTTACCGTCTGAGCCACCGGGGAAGCCGCCTGCCAGGGATCAAACCCACACCCACTGCTTTGGGAGGCGAAGTCTTAACCACCGGATCACCAGGGAAGCCCCACAAAGATAGAACTTAAAGCAAACCTGTTTTGAATGCAGGAGTCTGCCTAAGGGGGTTGAAGGACCTTCCTCTCCTTGATCTGTGATCAAGGCTCTGCACTACAGTTCATGGCCAAAGATGTCTCACTCACCGGAACAGCTTCACGGAAGAGGTTGTAGCCTGAGACCAGGGCCAGGCCCATGTTTGCGGCGTTGGGAGAACCGATGAGGCTCAGGAGATAGTTGAAGGTCTGCTGGTTCCAGTTCCTGAAAGGATCCCCCAGAATCTTGGTCACCTAATATCCTGAGCTGGACAAGAGAGCTCCAAGGGCCGGCTTGCACGGGACTGTGGTCAGGCTGGTAGATGTGTCCAAATCCAGAAATTCACCCCATTCGTTCTGCAGTGACTCAAGTGCTAGTCACCCTCCATAAACTTTCTCACATTTCCACATTAACAGGACAGAGAAGACGAGGGACAAAGGATGCTCCACCACCATGGAGAACAGCCTTGTGGTTGTCAAGGGAGAGGGGTTTGGGGGAGGGGCAGAGTGGGAGGCTGGGGGTAGCAGATGTAAGCTATTATATGTAGAATGGATAAACAGCAAAGTCCTACTGTATAGCATGGGGAACTACAATATATTCAATGTGCGTGTGCTAAGTCACTTCAATTGTGTCTGACTCTTTGCAACCCTATGGACCATAGCCCGCCAGACTCCTCTATCCATGGGATTCTCCAGGCAAGAATACTGGAGTGGGTTGCCATGACCTCCTCCAGGGGGTCTTCCCGACCCAGGGATTGAACCCGCATCCCTTATGTCATCTGCATTGGCAGGCAGGTTCTTTACCACTAACACCATGCTCCATATACTCAATATCCTATGATAAACCATAATGGAAAGGAATATTTTAAAAAAGAATGTGTATAGAGTATATAAATGTATAACTGAATCACTTTCCTGTATAGCAGAAATTAAAACAATATTGTAATCAACTATACTTCAATTTTAAAAAAATTTTTAATGCTCCAATTTTCAGGGCAGAAGTGGAGAAACAGATGTAGAAAACAGACCTAAGGACCCGGCAGGAGGTGAGTAGGGAGACGGTGAGGTGTATGGAGACAGTAACCTGGAAATTTCCAGTACCATATGTAAAATAGACAGCCAGTGGGAATTTACTGTGTGACTCAGCAAACTCACACACGGGCTCTGTGACCACCTAGAAGGGTGGGATGGGTACGGAGATGGAAAGGAGGTTCAGGAAGCAGGGGACACGAGTGTACCTATGGCTGATTCTTGTTGATGTATGACAGAAAACCACAACATTCTGTAAAGCAAATATCCTACAGTTAAAAAAATTAAGTGGCAAAAAAAGACAAAAAAGAATGCTCCATCACAACTGTTAATATTTGGAGCCCACCTCCAGCTTGGGATCATGTAGCTACGAGTTTAAACGAAAGCTTTGACTGCTTTAGGGACTGTGAGTCCCATGGTTCAAGCTCTCTCTCTGGGAATCCTGCGCCCTCCCCCCATAAACTCCCAGACATCACTTACTGCTTCCAAATGCTTCATCTTCCTCCTGGGCACACAGCTCGACCACGTTTCCTAGACTCCCTTGCAGTTAGGGGTGGCTGCAGTCAGGTGTGCTTGCGGCCATGTGGCCGCATTCTGGCCAATGGACCCTAAGGACTCCTGCCTGTGGCCCTCATGCTCTCTCCTCCCACAGTCAATCACTGGCTCCTGGCAACATCGAAAGCCACGAGCGGGATGGCAGAGCCATGAGATGGAAGGAGGTCAGGCCCCTGAATCGCCACCCACTGATCAAGTACATTGGTTTCATAAATTATGGACATGAGGATGAAACTTCTAATCAAGCCTGTATTCATCTCAGGGTTCCTGTGTTGAAGCAGCGGTGGTTTCTAAACTGAAACAATGACCTCTGCCACTTCTTTGCCAAACTTGAACATCAATCCACCCACTTAGACATCTTCCTGATAGCCAGATGCACTGGCCACTGACTGCCACCCAGTTTAGGAAAGAGATGGAGACAAAACTTCCATCTGTCTGGCACACATGGCTTCTCAGCTTTTCCGCCATCTGTCTGGGGCACAGCAAGGACTTACTGTGTGCTAGTATTGTCCTTACAGCATGTCAGGACAAAGCCTCCAGGAAGAGTCCTTCTTGGGGACAGGAACCCTGAGAGAGGACATCCTCTCTGCAGACTCAGCCCCTCCAAACCCGACCTCCCCCTAGGACCCTCACTCACGCCTCCTGTGGGTTGCTGGGCTCCGAGAGGTAGGGCTGCCAGAGGCCGGCAGCCACATCGGTGGTGGTGAGTGGCGTGAAGCGGTCTGCATAGACCATCACTTCCAGCGACTGTAGGACCGAGCGATAGCGCTCATGGATGCAGAGGGCGGTGGACAGCCCGATGACACCAGCTCCAATCACAAACACACGCATCATGCCAACCTGCGGGAAGGAAGGGTTGAGGTGGGCCACCATCATTGTCACCTCCGTCGTCAGCTTAGAAGATGCCTGACACTGCCCAGCCCTTTTTATACTTGATCCTTTTGTTGATCCTTACACAGGGGAAAAATGAGGCCCAGAGAGGTGAAGCAATTTGCCTAAGGCCACATAGTCAGTAAATGATGCAGCTTTCTCTGGGGAGCCTCCTTGAATATCCTGTCCCCAGGCTGGGAAAATAAAAAGGACACAGAGATGCACTGGCCACTGACTGCCACCCAGTTTAGGAAAGAGATGGAGACAAAACTTCCATCTGTCTGGCACACATGGCTTCTCAGCTTTTCCGCCATCTGTCTGGGGCACAGCAAGGACTTACTGTGTGCTAGTATTGTCCTTACAGCATGTCAGGACAAAGCCTCCAGGAAGAGTCCTTCTTGGGGACAGGAACCCTGAGAGAGGACATCCTCTCTGCAGACTCAGCCCCTCCAAACCCGACCTCCCCCTAGGACCCTCACTCACGCCTCCTGTGGGTTGCTGGGCTCCGAGAGGTAGGGCTGCCAGAGGCCGGCAGCCACATCGGTGGTGGTGAGTGGCGTGAAGCGGTCTGCATAGACCATCACTTCCAGCGACTGTAGGACCGAGCGATAGCGCTCATGGATGCAGAGGGCGGTGGACAGCCCGATGACACCCGCTCCAATCACAACCACACGCATCATGCCAACCTGCGGGAAGGAAGGGTTGAGGCGGGCCACCATCATTGTCACCTCCGTCGTCAGCTTAGAAGATGCCTGACACTGCCCAGCCCTTTTTATACTTGATCCTTTTGTTGATCCTTACACAGGGGAAAAATGAGGCCCAGAGAGGTGAAGCAACTTGCCTAAGGCCACATAGTCAGTAAATGATGCAGCTTTCTCTGGGGAGCCTCCTTGAATATCCTGTCCCCAGGCTGGGAAAATAAAAAGGACACAGCAGAGTGTCAGACCCAGGGAAAATAAGAAGTACATAGCAGAGTGTCTAGCCCAGCTGTCGGCTAGGTAGTCTAGTTGTTAGGATGGTGTGTGTGTTTAGTCGCTCAATCGTTCGTGTCTCTTTGCAACCCCATAAACTGTAGCCCTCAAGGCTCCTCTGTCCATGGAATTCTCTAGGCAAGAATACTGGAGTGGGTAACCATTCACTTCTCCAGCGGGGGGGCGGGAATCTTCCCAACCTTGGAATCGAACCCCAGGTCTCGCGCACTGCAGGCTGATTCTTTACCATCTGAGCTACCAGGGAAGCCCAGTGGTTAGGACAATGGACTTCAAATCTGAGGTCTCAGCTCTGCTGTCTGCTGGCCATGACCTTGGGTAAGATGCCTCTCAAGACTCAAATTCTTTTTCTGGAGAAACGAGAAAACTAACTCATGCCTCAGAGAGTAGATGGAAGTTTTCACAAGGCAGCAAATGTAAAAAGCTTAACACGCTGCCCAGGGAAAAAGAAGCGATTTCCTGACATTTCTGAAGCACCTACTGTGGGCCAGCCCTGAGCTAAACACTTCTTGTGCATCACTGCACCTAACTCTCCCACATTCTTAAGAGTTAGGGGCTGGTGTTATTGATCCCATTCAACAGATGAGGAAATAAAGACTCAGAGAGGTGGAGTAACTTATAGAAGGTCATACAGCCAGTAAATGGTGCTTCCGGGATTTCATTTTAATTCAAGTAAACTTGATACACATTTATTGCACACCTACTGTGTGCCAAGCTGGCAGCTGGGAGCATCTGGGATGCACTGTTGGGCCTCAGAACTCAGACCTTCAGAGTTCATCCCCTCCAGGCCTGCCTCGGGGTACTGGGCTGGCTGGGTCTCATCAGAAATTTAGAAGACCTAGCAGCTTTTGACTTTGAAGCTGCTTGGTCTGCGCACAGCAGGGAAATATTTTGCCGGCTCCTGCTAAGGCAGAACAAGGGGACTTTTTGTGCCCGGAAGGGCCAAATTCAACTTTCCCTCCTCTTTGCTCACAACTCTCCTCCCACGGACCTCGCCTCCTGGCAACTGCGGCCCGTGGCCCCGAACGGCAGGACATTCTCAATATGGCCTAGTTTTGTAAAGGAGAAACGGCTCCAGCCCACAAGAACTGGACTCTACTGGGGTTTCAGCAGCCAAGTTGGAGATAAAACCAAAAAATGGAAAATCATCGTCCTCTGGGTGATTCTCCTTCCAGCCGCGAGCCTGGCTTTGGTGGCGGGGGGACCTGCTTCACCATCTCCTCCCCCCCCTTGCCTCAAGAGATCCAACCTCCTCAGCCGTGAAATAAGGTTAACCCCCATCTCCCGGGTCAGCCTGAAGATTAAACAACTAGCCTGGTGAAAGTTCCCGGTATGGGGCCTGGCCTCAATCTGTAGTGACCTCTTTCTGTCCCCCAGCACCTTGAGAATAACAAGGGAAAGAACACTGGGTCTGGAGGAGAAGACAGCAAGGGGAGTCAGATCTGGCTTCACTGCTGGCTCACTGTGTGACCTTGGCCAAATTTCTTCCCCTCTCTGGGCTTTCTGTCTCTACATAGGCTCTGGAGATTTGACCACTTTCCTACCTTGACAATAAGAAGGCTGGAATAAAGGCTTTTCCTGTATGTTCCAAAATTCCCTGTAATGAAGGAGGTGTTGTGGGGTGGAGGGGTGTCAGTGACAGCCCCGGCTGGGGGCTGGGCAGCCTGGCACACACCATCTGTGTGACCCTGGGTAAGTTACCTCACTTGACCGAGTGAGAGGTCTCTGGGCAGGGAGAAAGAGACTTCAGACTGAAGCCGTCACATGGCATATCTCCGATAACAAGGCGGCTCAGGGATGGCAAAGCCTCTGGTTGGAGGTGAAGGCAGGTGTCCAAGAGGAGAACATGAGGCAGGACCCAGAGCAACTTCTAAAACCCCCTGGCCATCGCAGAGAGGGGCAGGGAACAGCGTGGAGCTCAGTGTCCCCAAGTGTTTAAAAATTTAAAGACAAGCACGATAGCATCATGCAGAAGAGGAAACTGAGGCTGACAGAAGAGGGGCCACTCGGCCAAACTCACACATTTGTGATCAAAAGATTTGTAGAGTTTTGGGGCTAAAAAGTCCCTGTGAAAGAAAAAAACTGGCAACGGGGAAAAACAGTAGCAACTGTCAGCTTTTCAGCTCTTAGTATGTGTCACTCATCATGCGAAGAACTTGACATGCATTATCTCCTTTAATCTTCTAACAACCCTAGGGGTTGTCATCATGCCCATTTTACAGATGAGGCGACTGAGGTTCAGGCACCTGCTGGTAAGAAGCAGAGCTCAGGCTGGCCTGACTCACAAGGCTATGTGCTAATCCCACAATTTGAAAAAACACATGAAATCAAGCAGGTGAAGAAAAACAGCCAAAGCTTCTGGGTTTTTTTTCTGCATTAAAAAAACAAACAAACATGAAATTCAATGAGTGTAGGAATTTTTAGTGTGTTGGTGGTAGGCACAGAATTAAAGGAAAAATAGGTGTCCTGAGTCAATTATCTCAGTCGAATAAGTGAGTCAGATTTGATATCGATTGTGGTAATTGTGTGTTTCTGCTTGTATTAAAGTGGAATATGAATGGATAAGGTCCTTATCAAAATCAGCAGTCAGACTATAGGATCTAACAGAGCCAGCCTTGGGTGAAATCGTTTAGGCATGGTGGTAATGAGTTCCTGGTTTACACACAGCTCTGTTATCCTTCAACCATTTTCTTCTTGTTACTGATGTTTCTATTAGTGTTGCTGTTTTCTGCTTTATGCTGTTAGTTTAACCAAACATGTTTGGCATGTACATTCAGGAAGACCCAAACAGCTGGAGTTGTTTCATTTGTGTGTGTGTGTGTGTGTGTGTGTATAATTATAATGTCTACCTATATGTGGCGCATGCAGGGAATTCTGGCCCTATGCCACTGGCCAGACGCACAGAGAAAGCAGTACAGACATCCTCTCACGTTACCCTGGCAACTGCTCTGAGAGGCTCTACAGAGGACTGAGGTTCCGAGAGAGGAAGTCACTCCCCTAGAGTCACACAGCCGGTGTGGCACAGAGTTTAGATCTGGACCCAGTTCTGTCTGAGCTTCCTGGGCTGCACCGTAGATCTCTTAGGCAGTCATCAAGAAATTGGCACGTAACAGTGTCTGCTTACTTTCCAGTCTTCTAATAGTTTGCTCATAACCTCCCTTGTCCCTAGAACAGACCTTGAAGCAGCAGGTGCCTTTGATGGCTGCATGCGCAAAAAACAGGAAAGACTTGGTTTTTTTTTTGCTACATCAAGTCACAGGTGAGTTATCTGCATAAATATAATCAGCTCCCTATGGCTACCTCTTACAAAGTTTCAGAGTTTATTTTTAAAATGAAACATACTAGCAATGCTGGATAACCAGGCCTGGCTCCCAGCCTCCCAAATGATGATAATTAACCTTTTGCTGAGGACTTGCTGCGCTGAGTTCTGTGATAAGCCCTCTGAAGCCACCACCTCTTTTAATGTCCTGGTTGACCCTGGAAGAGGTGAGCCACGACCCCTGTGTTCTAGATGAGGACACCGAGGCTTGCAGAGGTGAAGGCACTTACCTGTGGTCCCTGCAAGGCTGTCACCTGCGTCGGGCTCTAACGTGGACCTTCTCTGTCGACACCGGGAGGAATGCTCAGATCTGGAGTGCCCCCACGCCCGACCCCAGTCACCTGGCCTGCCAAATCTCTGCAGCAAAGAGGCAGCTGCTCTGGGCCCAGGGTCCTGTCTCCTGAAGGAAGGCTCCCGGTTCTGGGGCGTCCTGTCCTCAGCCTGGACTGGAGCTCAGGGTCAAAGTCTGAAGGGACGGACAGGGCACTGTGAGGGGTGGGGCTGGGCATCCGCCGCCGCTCGCAGGGGCTGGATCCCCGCCAGGTTGGGAGACCTCACCTCCCCTCGCTCTCGTCCCTGAGAAGTTGCCTGACTTTTCTGGCTGACCCCAAGTCCCCGTGGACCGGCCTCGGGGAGGGAGGGAGGAAGAAGGGGGGTTCTTGGAGGGCTGATGGGCACAAGGAGATCTGTCTCCCGGGCCAGCTGGAGACGATCCTCTTTCTTCCCTCTTCCTGCGGCCACCCTGGGGGAGGGGACGGCGGCTTCCTGAACCACTGTGCATCTGGCCTGCGGGGCTGGGGGAGTGGTCAGGCTGGCGGCCCCGGAGGGGAGGTCAGAGGTACAGGACGAGAGCTCCTGGGGCCGGCCAGCCAGCCTAATGCATTCCAGGATGCCGGGTGGATGAGACTCAGGGCGGTGCCTCTTTGGGCCAAAAAGATGGGTAGCTTTTTGCTCCTCTATCCCAGAGACAGGCGTGGCTGGATGCCACGTCCCTCTCTGCCAGAACTGGACCCAGAGCAGTCATTATTAGAGCCCAGAGAGCGTCAGGCACCTCGCTGTGTGAATGGAGAAACTGAGGCCCAGGGACAGGGACCAACCAGCCCTGGGTGAGTCATCTTTTGGGTTAGCTTTGAACGTCCAACCTCTAACCCCTACCTTTAGCATTCTCAAATAACAGTGTGCAGATGACAAAAGAAAATGCTTGCAAAAGACTAGTGCGTTCTGTTTTTATTGAATAATAAAGAAGATGGGGTGAACTCCGCCGTTTACTTATATGGTTCCATTTTATTTGAATTTTTTAAACAAATGTCATGGGTCACACTTATTTATTTATGGCTGCACTGGGTCTTTGCTGCTTCACACAGGCATTCTCTAGTTGCAATGAATGGGAACCACTCTCTAATTGTGCTGCGCAGGTTTCTCATTGTGGTGGCGGGTCTTCTTGCAGAGCACGGGTTCTAGGCCTTAGTTGCCCCAAGACATATGGAATCCTCCTGGACCAGGCATTGAACCCATGTCCCCTGCACTGGCAGGTGGATTCTTAACCACTGGGCCCCCAGGGAAGTCCCATGTATCACGACTACATCTCACAACCTTAGGGAGATTGCTTGTGCCTCTAATTCATTGTGGGAACACTTAAGAGTTAGCAAAAGTCAGCCACACATCTTTGTGCCCTCCCCGTTCCAACAAAGATTTGGGTTCTGTGACTTTCAATGTACCAATTCTAAATATTTTACCTAGATTATCTCATTTAATCTCGCAGCAGCCCTAATAGTAGGTAGGGTCGCGATCAACTTTCTCTTCATAGTTGAAATTCAAAAATGTGCTCCCAGTATCCACTGTAGCTAAACATATGTCTATCTTAAAACCCAGCAACCTTACTTTTATGTAGATATCCAAGAGAAATGCAGACAAACACCACCCAAAAGGCTTGTACAAGAACATTCATAGCCCCAAAACAGAAACAGCCAAAATGCCTATCAGCTAGAGATTAGATAAACAAATTATGACATTTTCAGACAACGCACACCATGGAATATTACACAGCAAGGAGGAAATGAAATACTGCCACACACAACAACTGGGTGAATCTCATAGTCAATATGTTGAGTGGAAGAAGGGAGGGAAGAGCCCACCCAGTGTAGAAGAGGAGAAACTAGTAGATGGTGGTTGAGGATGTGGGATAGATGCTTACCTCCAAGGCACAGGAATTTTTCTTGGGATGCTAGAAACATGTCTCTTTTCTGGGTGGTGGTTGTGGGAGTGTGTCATATTCATTGGAAAGACTGATGCTGAAGCTGAAACTCCAGTACTTTGGCCACCTGATGAGAAGAGCTGACTCATTGGAAAAGACCCTGATGCTGGGAAAGATTGAAGGCTGGAGGGAAAGGGGGCGACAGAGGATGAGATGGTTGGATGGCATCACCAACTCCATCGACGTGAGTTTGAGCAAGCTCCAGGAGCTGGTGATGGACAGGGAGGCCTGGTGTGCTGCAGTTCATGTGGTCGCAGAGTCGGACACAACTGAGAGACTGAACAATAATAATTCGTATGGGAAAAGCCATCAAGCTGCACATTTAAGATTAAGATGAAAGGACTTGACATGGAAAAGAAAGTGGTGGGCAGAGGGAATAAAAAGAAAGAAGGGAGGGAAGGAAAAAGGAGAGAGTACGAGAAAGGAAGGAGGGTGGGAGGGAGAAAGAGAAAAGAGAGAACTTGCCCATAGTAACAGCCTACAAGCAGAGGCTCAAATTTGAACTCAGCCTAGTGTTCCCAGATCCAACAAATAAAAATAAGTGTTACAGCTTTTTAATAATTTTTCTAGTAGGACTTCCCTGGTGGCTCAGATGGTAAAGTGTCTGCCTGTAATGCAGGAGACCCAGGTTCGATCCCTAGGTTGGGAAGATCCCTTGGAGAAGGAAATGGCAACCCACTCCAGTACTCTTGCCCGGAAAATTCCATGGACTGAGGAGCCTGCTAGGCTACAGTTCATGGGGTCACAAAGAGTTGGACACGACTAAGCGACTGCACTTTCTTTTCTGTCTGTACCAAAAATCTGCCATGGAGAAAAGAAAAATACACGACACCCTGTGTTATGTCCAGCACGCTCACCCAGGCAGTCTGTATCCAGAGCTGGAACACGCAGCCACCACCCTGGAGAGCTTTACCGCAAGTTGAGAGAGGCCCCAGGCACCCAGGGCTCCCCTACCCCAGCGTGGGAGGCTGGCCGTGTCTTCAGAGTCCTGGGCTGTGGGCAAAAAGCAAATTCAGTATTTACTATATCTCCCAGAAAGGATGTGAGATTTTTGTCTTTATCAGAAGAGAGTATGAGTTTTGTTTTTTAAAAAAAGAAAAAAGTGTTGAATGACACTGAGCTGGTTGAATTTACCCGTTTTATGGTTGGGTAAACTGAGGCCCAGAGAGCAGGAGGGATGCGCCCTTCTTCCTGCAGGGGTATATGGCTTACTTGGTCTGCTGATCACAGGACACTGAGAAACTGCTCTGAAGTCCAAAGTTCACTGATCATACTGATAAGAGACTCCAGGAGGCTCCCAAAAGACCTTTGGAAGCAATTTCTGTCTATTTGGCTGGAGCTGTTGAAGGTTCTTCTGACCCATTGACTGGTTGATAACAACATGGCCTTCTAGCCGCTCTGAAATACACTCAGGCCAGGACAAAAGGATCGTTGGCCAGGAGAACTCTCTGCAGGAGGTTGAACTCTGTGGTGGGCCAGAAGAAGTTTCAGAATAGCCAGTTAATCACACACACACACACACACACACACACACACTCTCTCTCTCTCTCTCTCTCTCTCTCTCTCTCTCTCAGATGAAGTTAGTTTTTTTTTGTTTTTGTTTGTTTTTGAAATTAGTTTTATTAGAACTTTTCTAAGTATTAGCATCATCATAACCTCTATAAATGTGTATAACTCGGACGGTAGAAAGAAGAAAGTACTAATTATTTGCCACCACTAATCCCACCCCCAAGAATACGGGCCATTAACATTTTAGGTGAATGTCCCCAGATGTTAACATAAATACATCTGGGTTATGGGGCTTTTTTGACTTCCATTCTGTTATCAATATGGCATATCCTGAACACCCTTCCCTAGGACTTGTAGACCAGGGGAATCCGTTCTACACAGGTTGCCATTGTATGTGGATATAACACTTTTTTTCATGGAGGTTGTTCTTAGTGTTTATCTATTTGTTTGTTTGGCTGCATCAGGTCTTAGTTGCAGCATCTGGGATCTAGCTCCCGGACCACGGATCAACCCCCAGGGCCCCCTGCATTGACGGTGCAGAGTCTTAGCCACTGGACCACCAGGAAAGTCCCAGGATGTAAAAATGTGTCTGTCATACTAAAGCTTGATAATCTCTTAAATCCATCCATGTTGCTGCCCCCAAAAGTTTTAACAGCTCTCGTATGTCAGACAAACTGGGGGAAATCGCTGAGTGATTCCTCTGCTCCAATGTCACACTGTCCAGAGGTTTCCCTGACCACTTCAACAGCCGCCTCCATCACCATGTCCCTCAGACTGTTCTGTTTCTCTCTCCAGCCCTTTCTTTCTTATAAGGTTTTTTTGATAGGGACAATTTTTAAAGTCTTTATAGAACTTGTTACAGTATTGCTTCTGTCTTATGTTTTGCTTCTTGGCAGTGAGACATGTGGGATCTTAACTCCCTGCCCAGGGATTGAACCCACATCCCCTGCATCGTAAGATGACGTCTTAACTACTGGACCGCCAGGGAAGTCCTTCTCTCAAACTCTTTTACTACTTGATATCATATTTTATTTATTTGACTCGCATCTGTACATGTCATGTTCTAAGAACTTTACTGAAGTTGATTCATTTTAAAATGACATATTTAAATAGTCATAGATTATATGCATATGTTAACACATGTTATGGCAAATCTATTCACTTACATGCTGTTTGACTGTATCTCCCACCTGATTCTGCTTGTTCCCTGATGGACCCCAAATTTCCAGACTGGTGCTCAGTGGAGCATGCACGCATGCTCAGTCATGTCCAGCTCTTTGCAACCCCATGGACCATAGACCACCAGGTTCCTCTGTCCATGGAATTTTCCAGGCAAGAATACTGGAATGGGTTGCATAGGCACTCCATAAATTCTTGTCCAATGAATTGAATGAATGTGAAAATGATATAATGCCCAAGAATTGGCTGCAACATATTGTATTATGACATTCTAATAATTTTTTTAATAGTTGTTAAATAACACAATTTTAACTGAGTAAAATTTTCAGATCGAATTGACTTAATTGAATGATTCAGGAATGATTCACAAATGGGTAGAATGCCATCCAATAAGTAGAAAGACGCTCTGAGGAGCTAGACAAAAAGGAAGCCTTTTATAGCAGAAAGGGGAAAAGAATGAATTGTTTCAGGCTTAGGAAACCTACCTACGAGGGACAG